GCCTCCCAAGTAGCTGGGACTACAGGCGCCCGCCACCACACCCAGCTAATTTTTTGTATTTTTAGTAGAGACAGGGTTTCACCATGTTGGCCAGGATGGTCTCAATCTCCTGACTTCGTGATCCGCCTGCCTCGGCTTCCCAAAGTGCTGGGATTACAGGCGTGAGCCACCGTGCCCAGCCAAAGCTGGCGCTCTTTACCGGCACACTGAGAAATCCAGGGGAGTTTTGTGTCCCCACCTTCTTTGTCCTTAAGTCTCTGAGGTCTCACGGTGTCACCCAGGCTGGAGTGCAATGGCGCAATCATGGCTCACTACAGCCTCGATCTCCCAGGCTCAAGTGATCCTCCCACCTCAGCCTCCCAAGTAACAGGGACCACAGGCGTTCGCTGCCGTGCCTGGCTAAAAGCCCCTGATTTCTTCCATTCTCGATGGCTCAGACTCAGCCTTGTATTAGCAACACAAGAGGGTTTGAAAGAGGGTATATCTGGAACTGGTCTCTGAAACCACAAGCTGCTCAGGCTCAAAAACTCAACTTCCAGAACTTAAATCTCATCCAGAGTTTCCATCATGGCCAAGTTGGGGCTGAAGGTCCTGCTGTCAGGTGTCCAAGACAGGTGGGTGATAGTCAACTCAGTCCCTCCCTGCAGATGGGCAAGGACTGGCCTCTGATCCATGGAAAGAACATTGATTGTCCTAAGCAGACTGAGAACAAGAAGAGGCAAGAAGCCACGTGCAACAAAGGAGGGAGTGGTGAACCAGTGTGGCTGGCCCTACGAGGTCACTCAGACCTAAAGAGCTCACTAGGGACAGATTTCAGCTTGTGCTAAGGGAAAGCTTCCCAACAGTTCAAGCAATGAGTGCCTTGGAAGGTGAGAGCTCCTGGTTATTGGATACATGCAGAGAGAGGCCAGAAAGCCCCAGTCAGGGCTGCTACAGAAGCAAGTCCTGAATGCTGACTTCACGAGCTCATGCTGGGCACTCCCAGGGAAAATCACCTGTCTCTCTGGGCCTCAGCACCTTCAGTTACAATATAAGGATAAATAACACCATTCTGGCCGGGTGTGGTG